AGATGCGATAAGAGGCGAGCCTCGATGCGGAGCAAGAGTCGATTCTCTCCTAGTACCATTACCCCTCTAATCTTCCCCAGAAATCTCTAGAGGAGGGCGCGCTGGCGAATCATTTGGTCGTGAAATTGAGCAATTCCAACATCCCCGATCGGCACCCTGTTCGATATTTTTGTCGGGGTGTTGGGGGAGACCCTGGGCGCGGTTCGGGTTGTGAAGGACGCGTGGGTGTAGGCTCCGACTAGGGCTGGAAAATGGTGCGGTATGGTCTAGACCAGACCATATCTACGGTCTAATGGTCCAGACCGAGAGGCTGAAGTATAGACCACAGACTAGACTACAAGCTATATGGTCCGGTCCAGACCACGTCTTTACGGTCTGGTTCGGTCTGATCTGGTCCAGATAGACTACACTCAACGAAAAATGAATAATTTATTTAGTCAACCACACAAAAAATTGAACCAATAACCAAGAAAAATAATTGTTATTTTCCTTAACACATCAATCCTAACATGCATGAATAATTTTGATACCCTAAATCTTAGTACATACTACATAACAAAGCTACAAAGTAAAAACATCCCAACTTGCACCATAACATCATAAACATTAACATAATGTCATATAGAGACACAAGTATCTCTACTCTCTCGTTAAATGTGGTTGTGAAAGAAAGAAGGACGAGATTCACAAAACTAAGGTTGAGACTTGGGTGTCGTTGTGTGAGTTGGGAGAGTGGTAGAATGGGCTGTTAACACGTATTGTCAAGTCGGTTGGGTCCACGGTTTGGTCCGGTAAACCGCGGTCTAGACTAGACTAGACCAGACCAAGAGATCAAAATATAAAATAATACAGACCATGGACCAGACCATACGGTCTATGGTCCAGACCAAACTGTGCATTAAGTTTTGGACCACGATTTTTCTAAAGGTCTGGTCTATTTTCCCAGCCCTGCCTCCGACGGTGAGAATTAGGGGTATTATGTTTTAATTTTTCAATAAATTGACATGTCTTTAATTTAAAGGGCCAGTCAGTAGTTCCGTTTGCCACGTCATCAAAAAATTAACGGAGTTAACAGAGTCTGATGGAGACTAACAGTTGGTGACTAACGGTGAAACGATTCATAAAGTTTTGTGGCGAATAAGAAAGAAATATAATTCAGATGGCAAAAGTGAGATTTTTATAATTTCAGTGACCAAACCTATAATTTAGCCTGACCAAACATGTAATATAGACAGTCCGCCCTTCCAGAACGCAAAGGGCAAAATTTTATAGAACTTTCACACAAACGTGGAAACAGCGAATTGTCACGGAAATCAGAAATGGCGTCGACCAGCGTTTCAAAGGGCCAAATCCTCTCCCTCTACCGTTCCCTCCTCCGGACTGCTCGCCAGTTCAGCGACTACAACATTCGGGAGTACACCAAGCGTCGGACAGTGGATGGCTTCAGGCAGAACCGCGGTTTAACCGAACCGTCTTTAATCTCCGCCGCGTTCTCCGAAGGGAAATCTCAGCTCCAAGTCGCCGAGAGACAGGCCGTTGTTTACTCGCTCTACGCTCCTGATATCAGAAGCGTTATGGAGACCAACTTGAAAGGCAAGCGCTGAAGACGACTTGTGTTTGTACCTGTATTTTTCATTCTCTCTTCCCCGGCTTTCCAGCAGAAATACTTATATTCTAGAATGATTTTAGTCCGGCTTTTTAATTCTTCACGTTTCTACCTGGATTGGGACTCTGTAGTTTCGATATTGCTAGTGCCTGTGGTTACAAGTGGTTAATTTCATAGACGAATAATCAATCAGATGGTTAGGGTTTTTCTTCTGAGTCAAGTTCGATTCTTGAAGAAGAGTTTGTTTAATTCGTTATGAACTACAACCATGATTGAAATTTCAGTTCAGGTGGATGATTTCAAATACTTGTTTCTTAGATAATTCATAATTGTCTTCAATACTTCCTGACGAGGTACCTTTTGCAGCGATAACGGAACAAACTTGCAGATACAATAACAAGGTTCTTTCTTGAGTGATTGTTATGTTGTGCTCATGAGTTCAAGTAGTGTCTAGAAGTTGATTTCCGAAGGGAATGTGTGATTGTCATTTCCTACTGAGACAGACATCTTTTAAGTGTATGCACTAGATGCTGATGTAATGAGGATTGCTATTTGCTAATACGTTGAAGCTTGTATGAATAATTTGTAGCCTGGTGACAAATTCTGGTCCTTCTCCTTGTGTAATTGAGAACAAATTTGTCCTCCGTCATCCGTGTTTATGTTGATACAGATAAGCTCTACTCAATGAGAGGAAAGATTTGTGTCTTGCAATAGCTGCTCGAATGATAATGGCTTCCTAGAAGATTATGGTTCCACATTCAGTTGATATTGTGAGTGACTGTTCCATCGAGCAGGATTTTGCTTTTGCCCAGTTTTGTTTCGTTTTTCAGAATGCAGTGATTTTTATTATATTTGTATGTTGAGCCACAGCATTCATTGTACTATGGTTCATTAGTCCCTTAACTCAGCTTCCAGTATGGACTTGGAGTGTGTTTGTTGGTATTGTTCTGGTTCAAGCACTGTTGTACAGCAACAGAACCTCTGGTTCAGATTTCAACAAGATATTAGGTTGGTTCCTTAAGAAACAAAGCCAAAATACGAAAAGAAGTTCTCTGCTGCTATCATGTAAAGTTACATTGACATGCTTTTAGATTGTTTTTTTTTTGTTTTAGCCAACTGAATGGTTGGTTGAAGAGCCATAAATTCTTTGCCTCAGTGTTTGATCTTCTGTGGGTAATGTAACGAACATAGACTTCCGAAACCTGTGCGGCGGTCAACACGGTCACGACATTCCGGGTCGTGAAAAGAAGGCTTGGAGTGAAAACGCTGAAGCTTTTTGATGGTGTAGATAAAGCTCTTATGTCCTTATGATTGTCATTTGCTCTCTAACCAGATTTCTCTTAGAGCAAGCTGTTCTATGAAGCTTCTAGATTAATGATTTGAGTATTTGACAACGATATGAATGCTGGTATTTGCTTGTTGGATCTTAATAGCCAGTGTAGAGGGATTCTCTGTCATTTAATCATTTACAAGGATGTGTTTGGTTGAATTTGTGCTAATGAATTGGATTTTCATTTCATGTTTCTCTATGTTCAACGTTTTAATCTTGTCCTGGTTACAGTTAAGTGGTTAGCGTCTTTAATTGGATAAAATATCATCACACTTTGACTAATCATCGATTACTTTATCAAGAGATTTATTCTAACATGTGCCTCCAATTCTTATTACTCCTATTTTTGTCAAATTCCACTTGTTCCAGCAGAAGGTTTATTGCTATGACTAAAGTGCTTTCAGAACTCAGGTGGCAGGTGCTCTGGATTCTGAAATCAGCATGTGGATAAAGCCTTTGTGCAATGTGCATGCAGAGCCATTTATGGTTGATGGCATAAATATAAATGCTTTGCGGAATGGGTTAAAAATGGGTCTGTGATTGGAACAATACTGACCACTTTTCTCTTGGAAAGTGATCGAGTTGTTCGTTCAACTCTATTCCAACGGAGCATACAGAATTGAACTGCGAAAAGGCTGAAGATATGGAAGGCAAGTAAGAATTCTCATTGCCCTTTTTTAAACCGTAGCAGTTTCTCTTCCTTACCTGCTTTGAATGGTCGGAACAGTTTAGCCTCGGAGGAATGGCTGAATCCGGAAAAGGGACAGGGCACAGAGGGCACCAGAAGCAAATTGAGAGAGGGGAGAGAGACCCATACCAGAATATTTAATTGATATACAATTTAAGGCAGAACTGTGAGGGAATGCAGGTTTCTGCACATGGCATCAGCACTTAAGCAGTAGAAAGGTCACAAATGCTTTTCTCCAAGAAAAGCTGATCACAGCTAAACCCCCATGTCCCTCCCTCCCCTTCTAACCTCTTAACTGAATGCTTTCTGATCTCTACAATCCCTCCCTGCCACTACAGCTAAGAAACTAGTAAGAACTTGCCGAGGAAAAAAAATTCTCTCTTCTCTCAAGCCTCCTCCTCTTCGCCTATTTAATCTATGCATCTTCCTGGATTTAAACAAGATATCACAGGATAGAAGGGTGTAGTATGATGATGGGGTTCTTCAGTTATGAAGAGGATTAGGCCCTGTTGGTACAAGTCTCTTCTCAGCTACAAAATTTGATGATGGCAGTCTTCTTGCTTCTTGACTCACACGGACTACACCGCTATTTAAATCCCGACTAGAACTCAAGCATAAACTCTAGCCATGTGCTAAATAGGGCAAGTATATTTTAATTGTCAAACCCGGGCCGGTCTATGTATAATGTATCCCTACTTCAATCGCTTAGTTTGTTATCTAGCAAACGTTTTTGGGTTTAAAATTATGTTTAATTCACCTGTATAGCCATAACTTTCATGATTTTGACAATTATAGTCACTTTTTGAAAAATACACAGATATAGCAAATTCCGTCCAATTCTTTGACGGTTCACTTAACCCGTTGACTGGACTAACGATAGTAGTTAGTGTGCCGTGTTTTATTTAACGTCATTGCTAGGTGGAAAACATCCATATATTTTTAATTAATAAATTAAATAATAAAAAACAGAACAAAAGGCCACTTTACCCACCTCATATTCTCTCCTTCTTCCCTCGAACCCTCCACCATCAGCCGGCCACCCATCCATCTTCTTCCTCTTCTTCTTCTCCGCCATTGAAAGGGCACTCGACCACTGTAGGTGCAAAAGCCCTATTTTCCTGGCTAGTCGCCTCCTTTCTCCAGCGAACAACTCCTCTTTCTCTCTCCAAATGGATAGCAAGAATAAAAGAGTTTCAGATTCCAAAATCCCTAACCCCGTATCCCAAATCCAATCAACGCTGCTTGCTTGCCCCACTACTTTCGCGGGGAGGAACACCTGCTACTTCAACATAGGTGTGATGGTGATCGATTTGGCGCGGTGGAGGGTCGGTGGGTACACGAGGAGGATCGTGGTGTGAAAGGAGCTCCAGAAGAGGATGAGGATCTACAAGCTGGGTTCCCTGTGCCTTTCGTGCTCGTTTTTGCAAGGGAGATTGTGTCGGTGGATCACCGGTGGAACGAGCACGGACTGGGAGGAGACAATTACAGGGGGCTGTGCAGGGATTTGCATCTGGGTCCGATGAGCTTGTTGCATTGGAGCGGGAAGGGGAAGCCATGGGCGAGGATCGATTCGGGCCGACCGTGGTTGTTGTAGAAGAAGGACTAGATTTGGAAAAGGAAAGCCACAACTGAGCGATGGCACAGTGGCGAGCGGGTTATGAATGGGCCGATTCAGATCCTCTCCTGATTTCTTTGGCGAAGAGGGGTCGTTCTCCCTTCGATAGGAATTTGATGGTGACGGTGGTAGTAGCAGAGGAAGAAATCGAAACTCTGGAGAGGAGATGAAGTGAACAGTGGGGGATAGCAAAAGAAAAGGATAATAATAATAAATTAAATTATTTTTTTCTAAGAACTCAAATTTTAATTTAATGTGGTGTCCAAGTGGCATAACAAGCCTAGTTGGACATGTGTTGGAGTTGATGTGGGAGCTGAGGAGGCATCCATATCAACGTCCTACTAACGGTGTTAAAATTTTTAACAGAAATGGCTAATTTTGTCAAACGAGTTTCCAAAATGTGGCTACAATTGTGTATTCTCCAAAAAGTGGCTATTATTATAAAAAACGCGAAAGTTATGGCTATGTTGGTGAATTAAACCTTAAAACTAATAAAACTACAAATGAAAACAAGCAAGTAAAGTAAATCGCGGTTGTCCCAATGAGAGAAGAGTTCACCCAGGTATTGCTCCTCCTAGCTACATATCAAGATCGACCAAATCGAATGCAAATGTGTGAAGATGTGTTCATACACAGTTAAAAGGCATAACAAGTGAAGTGAGGATCCTCACTCTCTTAATCATCGGTTAAGGAAAACAACTAATCTAGGAACCCAAGCTCTCTCAATCAATGGATTGAGGATTGCTACAATAAACTAGTAAGTCTAGCACTCTTAACCTTTCGGCTAAAGATTGCAACAATAAGTTAGGAGTCCTAGCTCTCTTAACCGATCAACTAAAGGTTGCAGGAACAAATCCTTCGGAACTTAATCTGGACGGCAAAATAACACCCAAGTTAAAGTGCTAAATCGAAGATTGAGGTTTACCCTAATTGGCCCGAGGTAGGTGGCTCAATTGGCCAAGGAATCCAGCTTATCAAAGCCTGCTAACAAAAAGGGGAATTCCCTCTAGCTAGGGTTCACAACACCCAAGTGAATAGGGAGGCTATTCCATAGCTAGGCAAGAGAAAACAAGAAAAAGGAGAGAAAGAAGCATGAAAAGATGAGTGTCTTCCTTCCTTGTTGGTTGAATCTCCCTTGAGAGGTAAGAATCTTCACTCTTCTATCTTGAAATGAGCTCAATCCTCTTCTTCCTCCTTTGAATGATACTTTCTCTCTCTAGAATAGGAAGAGGAAACCCTATTCTCACACTAGAAAACTTCCTTTATTCTGAAAACTAAAATCCTAGAAAAAGCTCTCATTTCTCCTTCAGCTCACTTCCCCTTTTATACCCAGATCGATGGTTGTTCACGGTCTCAGTTCACGGCCGTGAACATTCATCTTGGACCGTGAAGTCGAGAAGATTCGCACCATATCACTAAGTCATTTCACGGGCTGGGGCTTGAGTTCACAGTCGTGTGATCGTGAACTGACTGGACTCCAGTTAGTCCGACAACTGCTATGGACCCTCCACACTTCACGGTCTCGGGAAATTGTCACGGTCTTTGGACATTTTTTCACTTTTTCCGCGCTTTTCAATCTCCAATTGACCCGAAACTTGTCCTCGACATTCCCACGCGTGCTAGGACCCGAAATGTAACAAAAAAAAAAGCACAACTTAGTGGCTCGTCCCAAATATCACACACCTAAGGCCCAAGTATAAACCTTATATGGGTGAAATATTGGGCAAGTATGTTTAAATATCAACCCGGGTCGGACCATGTACCCCTACTTCCATTGTTTGAAACATTATATAGCGGATTGGTTCTTGGTTGAAAACTATGAGGTTCAAAATAAAATAAAGAAAAGGTTAATGGTTTGTAAGATCTAGATGAGAAGGATCACTTGGGTGTCGCTTCCCCCTAACTACTACCATAGCACGTGGACTCGAATGGGACGTTATGGGCAAAGCAATCGTGAACCGCTAGGAGGTGCAACTATGGTCGAAGACCACACTCTCAATTTCCAAACTAAGGGATACGTTATAGGCTACTAAAGTAGCCCTCTCGGTTAAGGCAATCGAGGGTTTCTCTTACCTTCTCCCTCAAACCGATGGTTAGACGGCTTAGTCACGATTAACCTAGTCGATTAATTCAAGATAGAGGTTTTCCCTACATTAACCTAGGTAGGTGGCTTGAAAAGCCCAAGGAATCCCAACTCAATTGAGCCTCTTTTAGAAAGGGGGGATTCCCCTCTAACCTAGGTTAGAATGACCAATTAGATTGCTAAGCACAAACATGCACAATCATCATGAAAAATACCTCAATCATTAAATTAAACAACACCTATAAACAATCATTCAATTGATACTACAACTACATGGCAAATAGTTAGGGTTTAACAACACCCAAGTGAAAAAGGTAACTACTCCATGCTAGAAGTAGAAACCATCATGGTGATGCCTCCACTCTCCTTTGATCTTGTGTTGATCTTCTCTTGAAGATATTCTTCCCAATTCACCACTTGGAGCAAACCCTAGCCTCCTTTCTCCTTTGGTTCGTCCTTTCTCTCTCTAAAATATGAAGAAAAAGTTGCTTTCTCACTCATGGGCTCCCTCTCTCTTCCTTTCACCTCACGTTATATACTGGGATCAGGCTCAGTTTACGGCCTCAATTCACGGCCGTGAACTCTTCAACGCGTCCGTGAACTCTTCAACGCGTCCGTGAACTCTTCAACGCGTCCGTGAACTCTTCAACGCGTCCGTGAACTCGGAGTGCTATGTGGAAACACACGCTTCACTCACTTGAGTTCACAGTTTGCACTCAAAGTTCACGGTCTTGTTGACTGTGAACTCACCTTGTGTCAGTAACTTCAGAAATCGCCCTGGATGCTTCGCGGTTCACGGTTTATGGCTTCATTTCACGGTCATAGGAGATCGTGAACTCCAATGGAAAACTGTGAACATGGCCTGAATCACCCTCTTTCCTCGGTCTTTGCTCCTTTTCTTCCAACTTTCGACTCTGGGGCTGGTTTCACCTGTTAGATCCCGAAACACACTGAAATGCACAAAACCTAGTGTAAAACCACCCTCTTAGGAGTTCAAATGTCACAAACGCCCAAGGGAAACGGGGATAAAACGTGTGCAATTAGGCCAGAATCACTCTCCCACACTTAGACGTTTGCTTGTTCCCAAGCAAACCATTTCACACGAGGTGATATCTCAACCTATCAAATTGCTTTGGGGACAAATCAAAGGGCACAAAGTGGCGAATCTCAAATGGCTATTGGCAATTAACACATGGACCGTTGCCAGCAATACCGACATCCAACACAAACGACATTCGAGGCTACTAGAAACGAGCAAATGAAAAGTTCTCACATTGTTCATGAATCAATGCAAGTTTCAACAAGATCACTTACCAACCACAACTGACCATGCATAGAGTTCAAGTCCAATGAACAAACGAATGGGCAACAAAGGTCCTCACCCGGGTATGATATGACATGCAAAACAAGAATGAATCACTCACTCTCTTGACTAGTGGGGTCGCGACCTTTTGGTGCAAAGAATATGCACAATCATCAACACTCGGCCCTGCTATCGTCTCAACACCACGGCGACAACCTCTAAATGCTAGAGTTCACGGAATGGTTGTCATCACTAGTTTGTCTGGAGGTCTTAGACACGGGTTCAAATGACTGGCGATTGTCTTGGACATGGGGAAAATGATTTTTGGTTGGTGGCAAACACATCATGAAGTCCTACATCTTCACCCTAAAATCGAAGGTTCTATGATTTCGACTAAGAACCTTTCCTACAAACAATGGCCACTAGCATCGGCCAAAAACCTTGCTTCTCCCTTCCAAACTATCACCCATCATGAACTTTCCTTAAACGTTCTTCCTCGGTCTACTCTTGCTATCACCTTTCAATTTGGTAGTGAAGGAGTTCTAAGACAATGTGGAGGTTTCACTAGCTTGAGTGCCTAGAAACCTCTCCTAGAGCATACTCTTTGATTCCTTGTGACACTCTCTACTTTATTTACCCCGTTTTATTACCTCTTTTTTCGTTTCTCTTTCTTTCTTTTTCTTTCTTTCTACTTTCCTTTTCTTTTTCTTTTCTTTTTGAGGGGGGTACTAGAGAGAAAAAAATTTGCCACACTACTTTTAACGACCAATGCTCTCTTTTTAAGAACTCACTCCAACACTACTCTTCCTTTGACTTTCTTTCCTAGCAAGAACCGCACACACTCCTCCTATGTAGAACCCTAATGGAACTCAAAAGAGAGAGCTTCGGGACACAAGGATGACACACGTATATACACGAAGAAATGATGGGAGGTCGTTCTATCAACACCATTAAGCTCACAAGCAAAAAGCTCCTAACATGAGAACGACCCCCAAAGTCACAAGGCTCAAAGGGGTTGACTAGTGGATAAATCATTTCGGGACAATCAACATTTGGGCGTGGACTAATCCTATGCCTCCATCATAGTCACTAGTGACAACTGTGATGTTACTCGCCATGGTAAGAGGGATCTAAGCACACAAGAAAAAAACGATAGACTCAAAGCTCACATGGCTACCTAGTCACCCAACCATCTATTATGATTCACAAAGCAACATGCATGGCAATTCTAATCAACAAGTAATCGAGCCAAAACATCCATTGCACACAAGAGAACTAAACCTTTGCACTATCCTAATGCACCTCTCAGTCATCATCATAGGACATACTCGATCACACGCAGCAATTCAAGGTTAATGCCAATAACCACAGGATTCTCCTATAAAGCGGCCACTTTGATCATGCAAACATTGCTTGGAGCCCTCAAATTTTTAAAATTTGGGTACACATCAAGGCTCCAAGCATCAATCACACTCACATAAGCTTAATAATAGACTACCACCCCACACTTAAGCTCGACATT